TGGGGGAGATATTTTGTTTTGGTAAGTGTTTCACTGCGCTCGAAACTGCATAAGGTCACATGAACACGTCGGACACATTCAACATTTTCGGTTTGGTAGGATTTAATTTTGAATTTTGCCCAGGTGGCGTCGATGCCTTCTCTTATCTTATCGACGTGGGACAACCAAGGGATCTTTAACGTGCGCAACTTGCTCAAGGGACCTCCGAGATTTTTCGCCCTTATTCAGACTAGGCGTTCGAGATCTTACCTACCCTATGGTCTGGGGTGTGGCTGAAAGGCAAGAGTAAGAAGACCCAAGGAGTAGCAGTAGAAAGGCTGCAGAAAGAGTCGCAGGCGCCCAGAGGAGGGGTCGAATGGGGGAGGGGAAGGTGGTGATGGCAGCAGAAAGTGGAGATGAAAGCAGACGACTTAACATGGTTTGAGCGCAGAAAAGGAGGTAGTGAAAGGATTTTAGAGAAGAAAATGTTGCGTCGCTGTCAGGTTTCGATCCCTGGACATATTGAAAGAGAGACGAACACCGTTATAACCTCTAGACCACGAGAGCCCCCAGAGAGAGAGAGAGAGAGAGAGAGAGAGAGAGAGAGAGCACGTGTTAAAAAGAGGGAGGAGGGGAGGGATAATGATGAAAGTTACGTAATGGTGGAGGACTTGCAAGACAGTGATTTCTTCGGAAGTAATTTTAGTACTTCGACTGACAATTTTTGTCTACTCTTTTTGCCGTCATTTCTCAGATTGCAGAGTTTTTGTTTTTTGTTTGTTTTTGTTTTGGAGTTTTATTTTTTATTTTTTGTTTTGTTTTGTTTTTGTTGTTGGGGTTTTTTGTTTGTTTCTTTTTTCCCTCGGCCGAGGTGATGGGAGAAGGAAAGTTGTAATTTATTAAAGCCAATGTCGCAGAGTTTAACCAAGAGTTATTTAGGGGTGCGTACAGTGGTACCTGCTCTAACGGCGTCCTGCATCAGAACGGTACATCACGTACCTATACAAATGACCACTTCCCATGATTTCTCTCCTTTCACCTAATAATAATTTTTAATTTTTTTAAACATCATAATATGACACCCTTCTACGTAAGACGTCCATCTGTTTCTTCTCGACGATGCGCTAGAATTATTAAGTTCTATCTGATATTTATGGCTGTTTTGAGTTATTTATAAGACCATGCGATCAGAAACCAATTAATGTTCTGTCTGCTCAATCAAAATCGTAAGATTATTTGTAGTTGTTATCAAGACATTCAAAGAATTGCATTCGAAAAAGCTTGACATGAAATGAAACTTAAAATTTTGGACTTCAAATTTATCAAAACTAGGTACATGTATCATGCTGAGCAGAGAGAACGTTGTAATTCTGAAGAAGCAAATGGGTGGCCGTCTATAAGTACTCTAAGCCTAGATAATAGAATCAGATGTACACTATAGTATGTCTCCTTAACCGGCGCTCGGCAATTGCTGTAGCGACAGGTCGCGAAGTCACACATCACATACAGTCCCTGGGAAAGGCACTTTGCACAAATTCCCCACTTGGCTCGGTCCTTTCGGAGATGGACATTAAAGTCGGAGGCCCCGCCTCTTAAATAACCTTACAACAGTGTTGATAGGGGCGTTAAACCTATACCATCTAATTTCTCCATTTTTCATCACATACACGGCGTGTCGTACGGCACTCCTTGGCTAGGTACATTTAATTTTTATCAATGGTGATACTTGTCACTTGTCACACCCCCAGTCTGTCGCGCGCGACCCGGGGTCTCGATCTCATCATTGGCCGATCGCAGACGATTCGACGGTCACGGGCGGCCAGATGGGGTCGGGTCGGGTCGGGTCGGGTCGGTTTGCTAGCCAGATTGAGGGCGCAAAGTGGCAATCGTGGCGCAAGCCTAAAGAAGGCATAGCGCCCGACTCGTCGCTTAATACGGGATGCCCACTATGGCTGGGATCGGCCGATCGCCCCACTCGATCAGTTTAAAAAACAAATGCGTTTGTTTTCAGGCGGCGAGCCCGGTGATCGACGAGGCGTTGAGCATAAGGAGACATATTAGATAGACAAGCTCTATATTTAATGGTGGTTGGCGGGTGCTCTGGTGTGGTTTGCTTCTTCTTTCCTGTCAAACATATTATATCGTCCTTATCTCCCCATCTTCTTTTTTATGTTTCTTACTCTCTTGTAACAACTTTAATCTTCTGGCGCTCATATGATGACCTTATGCAGTTGAAAGCACCGTAAAACCTCTACTAAAACTAAATATTTAATATACACCTTCAATTGTTACAGGTCTAGGCCTATGACCTGCAGCGCACTGTAGTCGAATTTCGGATATCAAGTAAAACTTGTAAGCTGATATTGATAGCCAATTGTTGATCGATCTCATCAGCCCTGGTGACTAATCGCCTTTCTTATCCACCACTGTCACCTGTGCTTTTGATAAATGAACGTTTTGTTAAACGTGATTGCAAGAGCAACATTATAAAACGATGAAATTCGGGTAATGTAGATTCTTGACCTTCAACACTGTTACCCCCCCCCCCCCCTTTTTTTTTTCGCCCTTTTCCGGACCCCCCCTCCCCCCACGCACACACACACACACCACCACCACCACCACCACCACTAACACCACCACCAACAACATTGAAAAAACAAAAACAACAACAAAAACATAACACAAACAACAACAACATACGCTGACCTGGAAGATTAAATTATAAGGACTGCAGGAACCAAAACTTGTTTTTTTGTTTTGTTTTTTAAACCACGATTTCTGATATTATTCTGGAAATATCAAATTTAATTAATAAAATTTAATTTTACTTTGGGTTCCGATAATCCTTGAACTATGGCATGGTATCCATTGTGGCCCATGCCCTCACTCTGATCTCTCAGAATTGTTGATTTATGTGCTCAATAATGTGCAAATAACAAACAGACAAACAAAATAAAACATTATTCATTTCCCTGCCTATTTGAATTGCGATATTTAGCGGAGGCGGTACAAGTTTCCGTTTACGACATCATAACTTTTCATGAAAAACACGGATCGGCTTCAGTTTCAGTAGCCTACGGAAGTGAAATTTCGTGTGTACCCGACGGCGAAAAACTGTCATTTTTAGTCCGCCCTGTCATCATCTCTTCCCTTTGTACACAATATTTGGATCTAAGGCAAAATGGGAGCGCTTTGGACCCGTTTTCGGGTGAGTAACTAGAGCTTTCATTAGCATTTATCAACATAAGCCGTAAGCTAACGCGTAGCATAAAACTGAAAGCATGAAAAGGGTCGTACTGCTTGGCTTGACGGCTTGACACCTTTCACTAATACTAATACTAATATTGATAAAAAAAGAATACACTGAACAAAATGTTTACAAATCACATCTGCCACTGCAGCTCCATTGTCGAAGGCTTACCATCAGAAATAATCAATTAGACAATTAAATTATGGTGATGAGCGGTATCGTGAAGACTGAGCTCCTCCCTATCTTACGCTAGGCCTAGATTCTAGATCTAGATCTATGCTATGCCTACGCATGTAAAATGTAGAAGGAACAATAGAAAGTGGCTATTCTCATCCGAGGTGAGAATAGAAATACGATCGACCTCTCACCCCGGGTGAGACTTGCGACTGTAGGCTATTCTCACCCGGTTTGAAACAAGACCTGTTTTTCCTAATTTCGGAATACTTTCTATCGATGTGGATGATCAAATTGATAAAAGCCAAGAAAAAATTACGTTATAGCACAAAAGTAAGCTAATTTGATCGTCTTCAAAGATGCTATGGCTATTTCACTGTTCGAATCGAGCCGAACTATGCGGGTCGCCATTTTGTTTTGCCCGGAAGTTCTCGCAAGCGGCAAGATCTACTCCTCCCCTCTCTCTCTCTCTCTGTCTCTTTCTGAATACTGTCTATCGGTGTGGACGATCAAATTGACCAAAACAAAGTTAAAAAATGATGTTAAAACACAAAAGTAAATTAATTTGGTTGTCTACAAAGATGCTACGGCTATTTATCTTTTCGAATCGAGCCGAACTGCGCGGGTCGCCATTTTGTTTTGACCGGAAGTTCTCGCGCTACTCCTCTCTCTATCTCTTTCTCTCTCTCTTTCTCTCTCTCTCTCACTCTCTCTCTCACTCTCCACTGCCCACAGACAAAATTGTACGCTTTTAGTAGGCTACAGTTGTAATGGAAAGTTTGTTCACGGCACAGAATTCTACAATTTTTCTGTTATCACAATGTAGAATTCTGTGGTTTAGGGTGAACGCAAAATTTGTTGGCCTAGATCTAGGCTATAATGGTGAACGCGCACCGGGTGAGAATAGCCAAAAGACTCGCCTGCACTATTCTCACCCCGGGTGAGAATAGAGGTGGCCAACGTAGAAAGAACTGTGTTTTCTTCAAATTTTAGGTGAATTGCACATGCGATTAAACATAGAAAGACACAAACTATTTGGTGCTTTTTCGGTAGTTCCCACCCCCCCTTATTTGAGCCTGACCTACATCTAGATCAATACGTTTGATTCGCAGCAAGCTAAGATATCAAACCTAACAACCGCAAAACATTAAATTGTCGTAAAATTCAGCCCCCTGAAACCGCCCACCTTATTTATATATATAGGGTCAGGGGGGCAAGCCCCCCTGAAACCCCCCTACTCTTGGGGCCTAAACCAATGAATAACAATTGGGGGGTGGGAACTACCGAAAAAGTGCTAACTATTTTTAGGTAAGGCGCCCATCTTGTTTGACGTCAGACCAGGATACCCTTCCTATCACGTGACTACATCTAAGTATAGCCAACCGCATGGCACCATAGATGGAAGTGTCTCTATTATATCGTGATTAATATACACCACTCGCTCGGAAGTTCTGATTGCTCAATAGACAGTGCGTCTGCGTTTGAAGTCGTGCAATGATTTTTGGAGCGGTTCAATCCCAGTCCCGGACAGTTTTTAGTTTTTTTTTCTCTTCTCCTCCTCCCGACTGACCTTCAGTCCCATAAATTATAAGCCTAATTTATAGAGTTGCTTTGAAGTTGTTTTGTTTGTTTTAAAAAAAATACATAAGTGATTAACAATGCAGGAGAAAGGGGGGGGGGGTAGATCTAGATCTAATCCTCCTGCGTCTTTACGGCAATTTTCGTGCGGTCTTCCATCATGTCCAAGTAGGCCATCTAGATCTAGATTTAGATCTAGGAAATCCGAAATGTGACCGAAAACACGTCGTTCCATGTAGGTATCCCAGGGAGTGATGACATCACAGTACTAAAATTAGCAGCCAATCAGAAAGATGCGTCTTTTCTACGTTTAACGGCATCATGTGTGAATTGCGAGCTAGAGCTGCTTGCTCCAAGTGAGTTGCGAGTAGTCTTGAGGCTTGAACCCTGTGACATCAGCACAGTGTGACGTCAGTGAAGTCACGTATACTGTTTCGCGCCAAAGGCCGACAGTGTTACTGTTCCTTTTTTTTTACACTTTACACTTAAAATTTTTTTTTCATCCACCCCTTTAAAAAGAAGCCTGTCTCTCTCTCTCTCTCTCCCTCTCTCTCCCTCTCACGCGCGCGCGCACGCTCCCCTCCCCCCCACACACACACGTAAACAGAACTAAGTCAAGAAATTAGGAAAGTCAAGCGTACAACAAATGCATTGCCAGTGGCAGGTCATGCATCAACACACTCAAAAGTCCAGGACCCATCACGGTCTAGTATGAGCAGCCCTAATCACATGTGCCACTACTGCCCGATCGTGTTAGCCTAGATTGAAAACTAGCGCTACCGACAGCGGGGGTTAGAAATAGCCACCCTAACAGTTTGCTGTCTACACTAACTGCTCACATAGTATTACAACGTGTTGCCTCCATTGACCGGCAACACTTCCTGTGTTTTCCCATTCATAAATTTATACATGACCCCTCCGCTCGTCACACGCGCCTTCACCGAGTGCACACCCTGCCCACACCCATCCCCGGTAGACAGACCGACACAACTTCCTTAGCCCCCACCCCCTTTCAATCATGCAGCATCTCACAGACTAGCTTACCTAACACGATACCTTTCACCCTAGGCTTAGAGACTCCCATCTATTCATAGCACCATCAATGATCTATGAACTGAGTTGAAGCTATAGGAACAACTCTGAATCGATTCACTGAGTTGCCACCGCACCATATATAGTATCAACTCCTGAATCGATTCACTGAGTTGCGAGTAGACGTGATCGCATCCACCGCACTAAATATAGTGTCAACTCCTGAATCGATTCACTGAGTTGCGAGCAGCAAGTGAGTTGCTCTGGGGTGAATTTGCGGTGTTGCCACTCGCTGCTCACTGACAGGCTTTTGACTTGCAAATCTACTGCTGCTCATAGAAAGGCTGGCTGTATTTTGTCTTGGCTTCATAAACTACCGTGGGCTCATTACATTTTAACAAATAAGATTCAGATTCATAGTAGTAGAAATTCTTTGCTGCAACTCTGAATCACTGAATTGCACTGAGTTGAACTGAGTTGCTCAAGTGAGTTGGGAGTTAATTCTCGGAAGTGGGTGTTGCGAGCAGTGAACGGAATCGATACCGGGATCCAGCTCTAGTAAAATGTGTTTTAAAGGAATTTGAAAAATTTGAATATTAGGAAAGTCGAGCGTACATCTCTATCTTGATCTAGATCAGATTACTCCTTGTCAACTTGGAGTGTTCGAGTGATAGATCTGAATAAGAAGTGTCTGAGTGGCCTACCCAAACCCTTTTTTTGCCCTTTCATGTCTTAGGCTTAGTCATTATGGCTTCCACTTAACTCGCCATACGGTGAGGCAGTCATATACCTCCTGTCAGTGATCTCGTCTCTCGTCACATACTTGAACTTGTGAAAAACATGTGGCGAGTTCACCGTGGATTTGGCAGGCAAACCCACACATGTCAACCTTTAATTAATAAAAATTAATATAAAAAAAAAAATGCAAAACCAAAGTTTATTCAGTCAAAATCCACACATGTCAATCTTTCTCTTTCAACATGTTAAACTTTACAGAAAACGGACACATTTTGGGGTGCAATATTATTATAAAAACTTGTTAAAAATAATGTGCATCATATATGTATGCAATAAAACAATTCTAAAATGGTACTTGATGACTGGTGGAGGTGGTGTGACGAGTCCACTGTTATTTGGATGCTTTTTTTTGGTGAACTCGCCACTTTTTTCAGCTGTGTTTCATCGTGTGACGAGTTCACTAGTTCCCGTCTTTACTTATTGCTACAAGAATCTTTAGTGACTTTTTTTTGTCTTTTCATTTGGAGCTGAAAGTCAGGATAATCCATGTTTATTTTTTGACAGGTCGTACAAAATTTATATGGCTCGAATTTATAATAATATAGGCCTATAATGCGAACCACTTCTTATCTCTTGTGATTAATTACAAGTGTTAAATTATTCAGAATATTAATATTATAAATATTATTTTATAATTTAATTTGTGTGTACAATGTTCCTGTGCTCCTGTACAGTGTATACCACATTCTTTTCAAATTATATATATATTTTTTATGTGCTGTACAAGCTGTTGTCATTTTTGTATGCTAAATACTTGTGTGTGCACTCTCAGCACTCGATCTGTATGTTGTTTAATTTTTAGATAGTTGAAGAACTCACCTGATAGAAATTGAGATACAATGTGAATATGTGATCAAATCTCACTTTTTTCATTATTTTTTAAAATCTCTTCTACAGGGGAAACAAACAACCTATGAAATTTTAGAGGGCATTGACAAGGTCTGTATTTTATTGTTTCTCTAAAGAATTTGTTTTTGTTTTTGTGTGTTACTAAGTAATAATTTTGAATATACACACATATTATTATAATGTATTTTATAATGTATTTTCTTTGATAAATCACAGGGCCCTGGGGTACCCTTTTCCAGAATTCTCGATACTTTTGAGTGATTTTGAGTCTAATTACTGCTGAGAGGGAAACCAGTTCTCTATTTATTGTAATTTTTAAAAAGGCAGTATTATTATTGTCCATTTTGTATGTATATATATATATCTGTTCTGTGTGTTGATGGTGCCTTGATATAATATATAGCTTAAGGTTAGTGTGATCATGTAAATGTATGTGTTGTCAGTTACACTACTTTGAGTGCAAGGACATGATCAGTATTCAGAGTATTCAGCACCAGCGCTCTGTATCATCTCCAGTATTTGCTTAGATATATATGTAAGTCATTATGTCTGTTGTTAGTCTGTCGTTTGTCTAGAGATGGGTCTTATCTTCCCACATTTTTGTGATATAATGCAACCTTGTGCTGTCAGTGTCATGGTTTTTAAATTGATGCCAGTGACAAAAAGTTATTCTAGCAAGTACCATTGTAGTGTTCAAATTAAAAATTATTTGTCCGTTCAAATTTGGCATAGTATAAGTATATAGCTAAAATGTCTGGATGGTATAGAAGGTTAAGAGATAGTTTTATTTCTAGTTTTGGAGAAATCCATTAGACCATGGACCTAAACCACTTTCTGTTGGTTGTTACAGAGGACATACCAAGGAGGCATTAAACAGCGTTTCAAAACGATATTTTGATGTTTTCATTTTCAGTGTTAAACAAGAATCAATTTTTTTTCCAGATTTTATTTGGAGACATGCTGCATTCTGCAAAAATATAGCATATTTGCATATATTATAGTATGTCCTATGTAACAACCAACAGTTGTGGTCTTATTGACATTTTTGTCGGTAACTTTAATTTCATTCACAACTTTCAAATTGAAGTAGGCATGAGCCTACAAATGGTAGTACGCATGACATTTTAATAATTTGCAAACAATTATTTCTTTACTTACAACATTAATCCAATATTTTAAAAAAGTGGAAAACCGTATCTTTCTAATTGACACAACATGATGTGATCTGCTAGGAAAGCACTATACTGTGGTAGGTTTAACTCATCATCAGAGAAATCAAGCCATCGGCATGCTCCGCACGTTTCTGCTGTTGCCAGAACATTCAGCGCCAACAGAAAAACTTGACATTGAATGTGCTGGTAATAGCAGAGCGTGCTCAATCTGGAAAAGCCACTTTGCATGAATTTTCCTCACTTCACCCAGATGGGAATGTGTATATGGCTTTAGACTGCGAAATATCTGTTTGTTAGTGTTTGAGCATAGGGGCATAGGCAATCCGCAGCTTATGCTGAATGCTTCCGTGAAGCTGAGAAAGTTTCTGAGGGTTCGAGGGTCTGCTGGGGTCATAATGATTGCAAAGTGCGTAGAGAATACAGTAGAGTATGATATACGCAATATAAATGCAATTATTGTTATTATTATTATTAATATCATCATTACCGGTGTCTGTGGTGTAGCCGTTAGGTGCTTTGCTGTTGCACGCAGGAGACCAGAGTTCAATTCCCGAGTGGGGAGAAAACTTTTATTGAGTATCTCCTGGTCTTTCTGCTGGGATGTTGTATCCCTCTCATCCCAGGTTGGCCCTGACTGGCATGGTCGGAAACCCACCATCTAAATGATCTAAATTGTGTTGTTTGCAGGGGGGAGGGGGTAAACTCCTACAGATACTTTACAATATTGTATCATTATCATAGGACATAAACCGGTTGCAGAAGAACCGCAAAGACAACCAGGAACGCCTGAAGAGATTCGTGACCCGCCTCATCATCTACTCTGTGGTGCTCTATGTCATCGCCGCCGTCGTCTTCTTCTTCCTCTACTTGCCTGATACGTGGCAGCTGAGGTTCCTGTACTCGTCGCCTCTGCTCGTCTTCCCGTTTATGTAAGAACAAAAAAAGAAGAAAACAAAAAGGATTTGATGTTATTGGATATGATAGGAAAAAATTAAGTGTTTTGAATTTGCAAGGTATAATAGAAAAACTTTTTGAATGTACCGTCAAATATATTAGAAAAATAAAATGTTTGGAATTTGCTTAATATACTTTTATAAAACTTATTTTTCTTTTTCCCTGCTCTAAATGGCTTCTATTTTGTGAATGGCTTTCTTTTTTTTACTAAAATCTGAAAAGCAACTGAAAAGCTTATTCAACATTAAGCTGTCTTTTATTTTCACCTTGGTCATTTAATTGATGGGGTTTCGATACATAAATTTTGTGAGGCCTACTGACAAAATGAGTTACTTCTGGCAATCCACAAATAGAGATGTTTGCCAAAAAATCGACATTAGGGTTAAATTTGTAGATTTTCTAATGATGCCATATTCTTTAACCCAGAGCTCCCCTTTTCAGACTAACTTAAGAGGTTTCTTCACCCTTTGGTTTTCAATCTTAAGGGGTATTTAAACCCTTGTTTTAGAAACTTAGAGGGTAAAAGTCAATTATCTCCTTATTTTATAGTAAGAATTTTTGCATGTAAACATTTAACTCACGCGCACGCACATTCACACAGACACACACAGAGTGACCATTACTATGATTGAATGCTAACAATTTTTAAATTAACTTAAGGTTTCTTTGTAATAGCAAGAAAATAAATGAGTAATATTGACTACAATTAGAGTTGTGCCCATTTGGAGGGGGGAAGGTGGTGGTAGATTTTTGAGCCAATAAAAGATAAAATAAAGTTGACAAACCAAAAGGGATCAATTCCAACTGTAAAGCACAAAGAAAATCAGACCTGCCAATCTATGAAATCTAAAAGTCAGGATCACTCCGGGGCGGTGCCACAAGTGTCTTTAGGCCATTCCCAAAGGGGGGACATTTCTCGTTCTAGTGCTCAGTAGAATTGTAAATGGGCTGATCTAACAATGTCATACTCATAACTGTGCCTGAACTACAACAGGGAACTGCTGCTTTTTCTTTCCTAATCCTTACTATCATCATTTTCCTCTACTTCTTTTGTATGTTTGTCACACTCTTGTGACCCGCTATTTCCAGGGTGCCTAGATAGTCGAAGCAGACTTTGTGCTGTTGAAGCCAGAGAGGTGAGCAGAGTAAGTCTGATTCCCTGTAAGGACTTCTCTGTTGACATCCACCCCTTGGCGCTCATATGACCTTTTGTAGTTGTGAGCTCCGTAAAACCTATACTAATACTAAAAAAAATAAAAGTCAGAATCTCAGTGGGGGAAAAAATCGGGATCAATGACAAATCACCAAGATCACTGCCAAACTAACAAACATTTCCAGGGACATGTGTGTGTGTGTGTGGGGGAGAGAGAGAAAGAGAGAGAGAGAGAGAGAGAGAGAGAGAGAGAGAGAGAGAGAGAGAGAGAGAGAGAGGGGGGGGGGTGAGTGTGTGCATACCTGTGTGTGTTTTACCTTTATTTTTTTAACTCATTGACGACACACTGCTTTGAGGCTCTTAAAAAAATCAGAAGGACGACTTCGTTGTCCACACTCATGTTTCAGTTCCGTTTTCTTTATTTGAAACTTTAAAAGGCAGGCAACAACGTACATACTATGAAAGATGCAAATTCCTATTTCTGATTTCTGTAAAAAATGAATCAAAATATACCCCAAAATTGCCTGTGGTCTGCTCCTGATCGGACATATGTGTCCGCTACGTCCTCAAAGAGTTAAATCCTGAAGTATCACGCACGTCAAACTCTCCTAGTTTATGTATTTTGCACGCGCCCCCCCCTCCCCCCGGATAAGTCCCGAAAGACGCTTCAGCCGGTGTGCCTGAACTTAAATTGACCCCTTCAACGGTCCCCGACACACGCGGAACTCACTTTGGTGGGAGTCATGTCACGTGGTGCGAAAGCGCGATTGAAAGAGTTTTACTGGAGGGTCTTGATGACGGGCCCGACTAACCAGAACTCGGATAAAGCTTGTTTTGAAAGTAATAGCAGAACTACGAATAATACATGTATTGATAATTTGTGCGTCGCAATTTAAACTAAACAGCTATCGATCAGGCCACCATCGGAGAATTCTGAGTTGAAACAAAAATAAAAGCGAAAATGATTTAAGGCCTAGGTCTTGAGAATGTCCCAAGTCGGAATGCCAAACCAATATTACTTCCATTATACATGTGCTTGAAACAACACGGGCTTGCAAAGATCCAACACAACAACTAAATTCGACATAGACATTTCGGAAAATAGTGCTTCGAGTTTCTGCTGACAAAAAGGTTAACGAGTGCCTCTCACAGAGTAATATTTTACATAAAATCCGGCACAATAGACGGAACATAAAAAAAATCGGGATACACGGGATCAAAGTTGGGAAAATCGAGATACTTGAAATTTGGGGCGAAAAACCTGGATATCCCGAATACATCGGGATTAGTGGCAGGTTTGGAAAATAAACTAATTCATTATTCTTCAGAGCCATCCCAGTCGTTCAATGGTGGACAATTTATGTTCACTAGATCTAGTGTGTTAAAAAGAAGGAAGGGTAATCTCACGGCAGGGGTAAACTCAAGGCACGACACCGGCAAATATAATGCGAGCGACCGGAATCTGGGCGGAGCTTCTGTGCTCAAGCAAGCCGGTGTCTTCGGGAACTGCGCGTAGCTCAGATAAGTAGATTCTAGGTCAACTGCTTCTGACACAGAGTCACAGACAAAAGGTGACTGCGGTGTCATGTGTGTGGGTGTGTTGTTAAATCATTGACTCGGCTTCGGGGTAGAGAAGGGGGGAAGTGATGATTGCCAGACGCACACTATCTAAGTTTTTAAGCGTATACAAACCCCCGAAACGAAATTTTAAAGAGTAAAGCTCACGCACCACCAAAACTTTAAGGGAGTAATTTGCAGGTTTAAGGGGTAATATACGCACAAATGTGCGTAAAGGGGAGCCCTGTAACGGTAACCTGTCTTTCATTGTTTCATGCTTATAAATTGTAAAAACTTCACCTTCAACCGCTAGAGTGAAGTCAGGTGCGCGTCCACCTTAAGGCCTTTAGAAAGCCATAATTCGGCTATTTTCGTATCGATCCAAATTTTGAAAGTATCGGCGTGACCGGCAGAATTGGACGCATCACCAGACTTAGTTATCATCTCTGTATGCTTAATAGACTTCATTCTACATTGCATTTTAATGCGCCCACTTTGGTCTGGTGATGCATCCACTTTGCTGGTGAATGCGTCCACTAGGTCTGGCCAGTGCCACCACCCCCTAATTCTTTATAAATATAAGAAATAAATGATGTTTAAACATAGAATCTAGATCTATGTTCACCCAGTCTGTCATTCTTCATCGTGTTATTATCCACTCACTCATTCTTCATTATGTAAGAAATAAAAATGAATAAAACCTTTAGACCCATGTTAAGATGTTTCATTTATTAACATTGACTTTAGATAAAGTGTCAAAAACATTTACATGTAGACTCTATTTATTAATTTACAACCAAATATCTTTATACTTATGTAGGTTTATTTACAATTTTAGTTTGTAATGTTCAGTGATTTAAATGCAAGTAAATTTATGTATTCAAAATACATGGATGGATGGTAAGTACAAGGGGGTTATGAAATAGTGGGCGTGCACTTCTTGGGTTTTAGCCAGAAAGATCTTTTGTCAGCACACTTCACATATTCATAGCCACTCTAAAGGGCCATCTAGACTTGAAAGACTTTTTGGGTGTTTTTTTAATGTTACAAAAACAAACAAAAAATAATGTAGACGATCAAGATCTAGATCTCTACATCTAATGGGATTAAAAAACCAAAAATTTTCACAAAAATTAACCTTTGATTGGTAATAGATGTCTACAAGTGGCTGAGTGAATGACATATTATGCATTTGTACAGGATGTGAACTCATTCACCATACTGAATCTACTCAGTCGGTGAGTGCCGCCACCCATGGACGCATGACCAGACTATACTAAAACTTGATATGGTGAGCGCGTCCACCCCCCTCGTGGCTCAAATTTCCATTGTTGAATGGCACAATAGGCAAAATTATATTTTAGAACCTTTGTAAAGGCTAATAAAAGCAAGTGAGGGCGCTTGGAGTTCATTAGTTGTCAAGTAGCCGACTAGCAAATAAGCCTCTCCGCCAGTGTAACTCGCTAATGAAGAAGACAAATTTTTAATTACCAATTGCGTCTCCGCTAGTGTAACTCGCTAATGAAGAAGACACATTTTTAATTACCAGAAAATAGTGACTTACAGAGTGTAAAAAACGAAAGTAAAATGCGAAATGAAACGGAAACTGCATATACTTTTTAATTACACGACCGGAATCGATCCAACACCGATGAATAACGAAATACAGCAAGTGGACGCATAGACCAGGTGGAAGCGACACACTACTTTACTCTATGTGTCTATTTGTTTAAGGCTTGAATTCGAGAAGTAACTTATTTTGTCAGCCCACTTCACGTTTGTTTAGTCTTTTGAGTACATGATATGTATGTGTGTGTGTGTGTGGCATCATGGTGAAATCAGGTATTCATCAAAATACTGAAATCGAAGAACATTTTTCCACCTGTTGGACAATTTTTATCGATTTTGTAAAAATTCTAAGCTAAACATCCTTTATATACATTTAAAAACATATAATTTATGTTTTAATTTTACCCAAAAATGTTGATCAAAGGCACAATAAAAATGTCAACGCATAGTTCTCAAGGACTCTCAAGCTTTGTTAGTCACCGAAATGTTCTCGCAAATTTTTCCTCTCACATCGGGTGACCCCCTACCTCCTTCAATTACAAATATCTTGACTTATAGATAGATGGGTATTTTTTATTTATCGAAAGAAAGACAAAGAAAGAAGCTTTAAGATGATACCAATGTCTCCATACACCCAAAAATCAACGAGCGCCTGATTCCACCGCGTTGTGACACATAGGTACGTACCTTTTCAATGTTTCATTTTTGTTCTTTCCCACCAGCATCTGGGGCCTGAAGAAGTTGTTGCACTGGTACTTTGTGAAGAGAATCGCCAAGAATGGTGAGTGTCTTGATGTGTGGAGGCACGTACACAGAAGATTGAAACAACAGGAGTTGGTGGCCTGGTGGTTAGGCTCTTGGGTTTGCAACCGTGAGGTCGAGGGTTTGAATCCCGTCAGGAAAAATAGGCAATAGCACTCATGTGTTTAGACATTGGGAGTTTTAAAAAAAAATAAATTTTCCATTTAACGAGTGTGTACTATCTAGCCACCTTGATTTGCTGACAACTAATAACTATACTTTTTCTTTGAGCTTTGTCAGCTTTCCCTTGTTCAAAGATTCTGTGTGGGTGGTTGGCAGATGCTCTTGTGTGGTTTGCGTCTTCTTTCAAATCAGACATCTTTCGCCCTTGTTTATCCTTCTCCTTTTATTCATGTTTGTTACTGTCTTGTAACACCTCTAATCAACAGCGCTTATATATGACCCAATAGTGTTGCAGGTGCCAATAAACGCTGACTAAAACTAAAAGATTCTTTCCATGAATTTAAGTGTAGCTGACTGCCACAAATGCCAGACTTGCTTTGATTCCATTTTTAATTGATGACATCCTTTGGGAATAGAACTTGTAGGAACATGTATTTTGTTCATGTGATCTCGTGTGAATTTGTATTCATGATTGGCAAACTTATTCTTCTACTTCTTGTTCCTCTTCTATTCCTTGTTGTTGTTGTTGTTGCTGTTGTTGTTGTGTGTGTGTGTGTGTGGTAGCCTATCCGTTTGAAATGTTTGGAGCCCCGAAGAGAGTGCTCTTCGCCAGGGCCACTGCCTCTCTTGGGTGAGGCAGTCCAACCTCCCTGAATCCTCCCCAAAGAGATGCCACTGCTGGACCTCCGTGGCGGGGCATCTCTGCAGCCAGTGCTCCAAATCTTTGGGCTCCTCGCTGCACAATGGACAGATTGGGTCCGATGTTTTGTCTATTCATCTTCCTGCGGAAGGATCATTATATTTTTTTCCATGTCTCCATAACCTCGGAATGTTGTTGTTGTTGGTGGTGTTGGTGTTGTTATTGTTGTTGTTGTTGTGTTGGTGTTGCTGTTGTTATTGTTGTTGTTGTTGCTCCTCCTCCTCCTGCTGCTACTGCTGCTGCTGCTGCTGCTGCTGATTCTTCTGCCCCTCCTCCTCCTTTTTCTTCTTATGTGATATCTTTCAACTTGCTTTGTCATCAAATGCCGATTTCTTTATGTCTCCAGATGTGGCCTTGAGGGAACTGAGAGAGAAAAAGAAACAAATCGTACGTAGTTAATTTTTAGTGTTCTTGGGTCTGTTGGGGTAATAATATAGTGTTATGAGCGTAGAGTTTGGTGTTGAGAGGGGATATGTGCTATGTAAGTGCTACTTATTTCTTCTTCTTCTCCTTCTTCTTCTTCTTCTCCTTCTTCTCCTCCTCCTCCTCCTCCTCCTCCTCCTCCTCCTCCTCCTCCTCCTTCATTATTATTATTAATTATTATTTTTATTTTTATTATTATCATTTTTATTATTATTATTATTATTATTATTATTATTATTATTATTATTGTCTAGCAGAACAATACAATCGAACCTGCCTTAACGGAAACCTGTCTTAATGGAATCTTCCCGCTCCCCCCTTGATTTTTTCCTCTTTAATTACCTGTATAAAATGGAAACCTGTCCAACGCGGAAACGGAAAGAAAAATCCGCTCCCTTCCGAGGGTTTCACCTGTCTAAGACGGAAAATGCTTTACCAGCTCAGCACTGATTTGAAACAAAACTCGTAAGTTTGGTTCCGCCGGCTCTAAACTTAACACCACGGCCATACCGCTGGGCGAGGAAGGGGAGTAGGAGTGCAATTTGGGGGTAGATGTTACCCTAGACATGTTACCCCATCATGTGAACCCTGAGCTATGCAGATGGTCAGGGTAGTGAGGGTGAGAAATCTCACGACTGCCTGTGAGAGTGCTCGAGTACCGAGCCACTACGGAAACTTTCTTGGGTAGCCAGAAGCCAGAGGTGCGAAATAGACTGACCAATGCCAGCCGAGAAAAACGTTCCTCGAATCGTTGTTGCGTGATGGCAGTGAGGGGTGGCATTGGTTGACTGTGCTTGTTACACCGATGGGTGGGGCTAAGGGTGGAAGCAAAGGAGATGTTCAAACGTTTCTGTTTTAAATAGGTCAAACAGTGGTCCTATGAAAGGCAAGCACTGGTGGTAATTGGATAAGTAAGACTGACGCATTTCATAGCAATGGAGAGGTGTGAAGTCTTGACCACAGCTTGCCGATCGGACAAGCAATCCTTGATCCCACCGGTTGGACCTTTGAACTCTCCCCCCCCCCTCACCCTTTCCATCTCCCCCTAAATTCCCCTGTCTAAGACGGAATTTTTTTTCTGGCTCCCTTGCGATTCCGTCTTACACAGGTTCGACTGAAGTGTGTTTGTACCTATTTTAAATCTCTGACTGGCTGTTCTTGAACTTCGGTCATGTGGGATTTTTCAGGGCCCTTTGCTCACTAGGTTCAGTCCTGTTGGAGATGAACAGCGGGTGGTTGGTGGGTGCTCTGGTGTGGTTTGCTCTTTCTTTCCTATCAAACATCTATCGTCCTGATCTCTCCTCCTACTTTTTTGTATGTTTGTTACTCTCTCGTAACACTTCTAATCTTCGGCACTTATGTGACATTATTTTGTCTAGCAAGTGCGGTAAAACTCCTTTTAGGAGATGGACATCTAACTGATTCAGCCCGCTGCACCGCTCACAGCGGCTGACTGTCTCCTGTATTTTGACATAAAGTCGCTCTTATCTGTTGCTCCCTTTCTTCACATCACTTTCCTTCCTTCTTTTGTCCTTACCACTTACATTTCAACCCTTTTTTTTCAAGAGTCATTGAATAGTATTTTTTATTCTGAACACTTCTATATGCCACAAATAGGGTTTTTATCAAATTTAGATATTTCTTTATTAACTTTCTGTGAGACCACCCGTGAGGTCATATCACGAAGCAGTCACAAATTATTCGCATCCCGAATTAAATTATCTGCCGGCTGAATTAGTTAAGTCAGTGGGTGATGGGTGGGTGCTCAGGTATGGTTTGCTCCTTTTTTCCTCTCAAACCTTTATTGTCCTAACTTGTCCTCCTTCTTTTTAGTGTTTGTTACTCTCTGGTAACACCTCTAATCTTCGACACTTTCATGACCTATTTGTGTTGCAAGTGCTGTTAATCTCTCACTAAAACTAAAGTAAGATTCTTTTTTTATGCGGTTTTGTCCTCTTGTAACCTTTAGTTTGTCTCCGTGTCTGTTTTCCTGCAGCTGGAAGATGTGATGGAGACAGAAACCTACAAGAAAGCCAAGGAAATCCTGGAGAAGTTTGATCCGGCCAGGTTTAAAAAGATGGAGGTATGTCGCCATTTCTTATGAGATTTGTGTCCGGCGTATATTTTGTGAATTACGTCACCATTTTGTATAGATATGTATCATTTCTTAAGAGGTGTGTCAGGATTCCTTATGAGGTATGTTGCCATTTCTTATGAGGTATGTCTTAATTCCTTTTGAGATATGTCGGCGTATTTCTTGTGAATTACGTCACCGTTTCTTTATAGATATGTTGCCATTTCTTAAGAGGTGTGTCAGGATTCCTTATGAGGTATGTTGCCGTTTCTTATGAGGTATGTCGTAATTTCTTATGTTGAGTCTCTCTTCAGATGAGGCTCCAGATTTTACGTTGTTGTTGTCATTGAGTCAGCAACAGCTGAGCTCTCACCCTTCTGTCCAATGCCATGTAATGACAAATGCAGGTTTGCTACAGTTGGCATGATGTTCCATAGAGTGTGTTGGTGGGCGATTAGTAGATGCTGTTGTATTGATTGCTCCTTTTTTTATTAAACACCTATTGTTTTTATCTATACTCTCTTTTTGTATTTGCTACTCTCTTGTAACACATATGATCTTCAGCACTAATATGACCTTATTGTGTCGCAAATGCTGTAAACTGTTAACTAAAACTAAGAGTGTGTTGTCAGTGGTAGGTCTCAGAGGGAGAAGTGTTGCTCAAATGTCATTGAAAGCTGTGCAGTGAAACAGGTGATGATCCATAGTCTCCTGTGTGTGGTTTCAGATTTTGTGGAATGGGCATTTTCTTAATTTTCCCAGTTTTTTATTTTTTATTTTTTAAGAATTACTTCATGTGAATCAAAAGTCTGACACTTTGGATTTTTATTCTACCTTTCAGCTGTAATCTAAGTTGTATTTAAAAGTTATGGAGGTACCAATTTTTTTTTTTCGTATGCTTATTGAGGGCAAGCGAGGCAGGGGTAGGCCCAGAACAACATACTAAGGGAACCTAAAGAAATGGGTAACAGGGAAAGATCAGGGAAACGTGGCTTTTTTTAGAGCATCTGAGCAAAGGAATGAGTGGAGAACCATGATCGCCGATGTCTGTCGCAGATCTGGCTCTGGATGATGATGATAATGCTTATTCCAACCTATTTTTATTTGATTGCAATTATTTGTTTTTGTTCAGTAACCACTATGTAACACCTCTAAACTCCAGCACTACCCCCCGGGGCAGTGCCACTGACTGTAGTGTCTTCAGGCCATTCCCAAAGGGGGGACATTTCTCGTTCAAGCATAGTGGAATTGTAAATGGGCTGACTCATGTCACGCTCATAAATGTGTCTGATCTACAACAGGAAACTGCAGCTTATTCTTTCCTGATCCTTACTATTGTCATTTTCCTTTACTTCTTTTGTATGTTTGTCACTCTCTTGTGACCTGCTATTTCCAGGGTGCCTTGATAGTCGAGGCAGACCTTGTGCTGTTGAAGCTAGAGAGGTGAGCAGTCTAAGTCTGATTCCCTGTAAAGACTTCTCTGTTGACACCCACCCCTTGATGCTCATATGACCTTATGCAGTTGCGAGCACCGTAAAACCCTGTACTATAAAAAAAATTTAAAAAATAAAAACTCTGGCACTTATATGACCCTATTGTGGTGTAAGTGCCATTAAACTCTTACTAAAACTAAAGCCAAATATGAGGCATTGTGGTGAAATTAGGCACTCATCCAAAAAATGACACCGAAGACACTGGCATTTTTCCACCAGTTTGGCAATTTTTATCAAATTTTTGTTTTTTTAGCTCAACACCTTTTATGTCCATTTAAAATCACATTTCTGTGTGGATTCTACTGGAAAAAGGTTGATTAAGGACCCCTATAATGTAAATCTTCAGTTTCCAAGGATTCTGTAGTTATGGAAGTCACCAAACTTTGGCAACCATTTCCTCGCTTAATTTACCTCATAAACCAGGCTGCCCCACCTCCTTCAGTCGCAGATATCTCGGCTTCTATTCAAGATGGATGGGTATCTTTTTCATATGAAAGATAAGCGAATGAACTAGCTTTATGATTATACCAATAGCTCCATGTGCCCAAAAATTGACAAGCACCCCATTCCTCCACGTCCTAACACAAATGGTCAATTTTAAGCACAAGGGGACTGTCCCGCAAAATGCTGTTTTGAGAAAATCTAAGGTAAAGGTTTTGCCCCTTGTTCAGCTTCTTTAAAAGACAAGGAGAGTTTTCTCTGTAACCAAACAAATATACACACCAATGACACCAAACTTGTCCTATAGGTAGGTCAATGCCCACTTTTGGTATTGGTCAAGATTTCTGGAAACCCCCGAAATCTGGGTTAGTCTGCTTGTCCTTAAAAGCAACCAAATATGACCGTAAGTAGTTTTTAGTGTGTGACCTACTTTGAATTCTGAAAGTTTTTTGGTCATATTCCTCAGGTGGAGTCCAGTCCCAGCTCCCCTCCTGGTCAGGGCACTCCAGGCACTTGTAAGAGTTTTTTCGTGTTTTTTTTTGTATGTGTGTGTGTATTTTTGTTTTTTGGTAGGGGTGGGTGGGGGGTTGGTTTTTAGAAAGAATGACCTGTGTGTATGTCCTTTTTGAAAATTTATTTTTATCCAGGTACCGTTTTTTTGGTGCTGTTTTTCTTTTTGTTATCCAGATGTTTATCAGTGGGTATGAAAATACAAGATTTTTTTTCAATTAGGGAGAGAGAGAGACAGAGAGAGAGAGTGTATATATGTGTGTGTGTATGAGAGAGAGAGGGAAAGGGAGAGAGAGAGAGAGAGAGTGTATATATGTGTGTGTTCGTATGTGTGTGTGTGTATGTGTGTGTGTGTGTATGAGAGAGAGAGAGAGAGAGAGAGAGAGAGAGAGAGAGAGAGAGAGAGAGAGATGTCAAAGGTGAACAGGAGAAAGTGGAAGAAAAAAGGAAGGGAGAAGTTAATTTGTAAAATAATGGGTAGGAGTAAAATTGCATTTGATGTTCTTCTTTGGTTTACCATAGTAAAAATTAGACTCCACTCTTAATGATGTTGAGCTTTTCTCGAGTGCCAAAGCTCAGCATTTTAAAATAATTAATTGGCTTGCGTTTAGTGCCTCATTCACACTGGAAATATCAACTGTAACTGATCCCATGACAAAAGTGGTCTTGTTTGAGTAGACAAGAAAGATTTTGTGAGTGGTTGATGGGTGCTCTGGTGTGGTTTGCTCCTTCTTTCGTATAAAAAATCTGTCGTCCTTATCTCTCCTTCTTCCTCTTTTTTTTTCTTGTTTGTTACTCTCTTGTAACATCTGTAATCTTCGGCACCATATATTAAATTATTGTCCATAACACGTACTAGCTTCAGCAACATTTGTGGCAAAATCAAGTTAAAGCCACAGAGCAAGTATTTATCCTATACTATATCACCTCTGGAATTCTGGTATTGATACCATTAGCCGTTACAGAGTTGTTTGTATTTTTCAAAATATCTCTCTCTTTCTCTCTCTCTCTCTCTCTCTCTCTCTCTCTCTCTCTCTCTCTCTCTCTCTCTCTTTGGATATATATTCTTTCATTCACTACTCATCAACCCGCTCCTTCACAGGCATGTTGTGCACTCTTTTATTATTCTCTCCACCCCCTCCTCCCCTCCCCCTCCTTTTCTTTCTTCTTTGTGCTTGTGCTGTTAAGGCTAGAGAGGTGAGCAGAGTAAGCCTGATTCCCCGTTTGGACTTCTCTATCAATATCCACCCCTTGGCACTCATAGGACCTTATACAGTTGCGAGCACCGTAAAACCTTACTAAAAACTAAACTTTCTTTCTTCCCTAAAGCCATCCAGCAGCGTACGGCTTCCCGCTCCGCACAGCAGCAGCCCGTGATCCGAACCCCGGCAGGCGCCCCGCCAACCCCAGTACACACTCCCAGCCAGCGCATGGTCAGGCCTCCCCAGCCAATGTCCAAGCAGCCCCTGCGCCAGCCCACGCCCACCTCCACTCCGCTGAGGCCTATGGGAGGCTATGGCGCTACACCGGGGATAAGAACTCCGGCTCCGATTGGTCGAGGCACTCCGCAGCAACAGCAGCAGCACCAGCGCATGCCGATGTCTACCCCGCAAGGAGGCGGGAGGGGCATGGTGATGCCCGCGGGTTATGGTGAGTGTGCCTCTTTGGAAGACTGTTGGTAGCTTTTCTAAAACTTGTTCATTTTTGTCTGACTGGTTAAAATGGGTTAAAAACAAAAAATTGTTTAATCTTTCTGGGTCTTTGCATCCGGGTCTAAAAGTTAAGTGACCAACAATATCTGAAAGCCCATTCGTAAAAGAAGTTGCAAAAGATTCCGACATGTTCTCTTTGATGAAAGCCTAAAGTGGGTAAAAAAAATAATAAGGGATTTACAGCATACACAGTTTAAAGTGGACATATTTTCCTCAACACCCCTCTTAAACATTCGCCTAAGAAACACGATTCAAAAGACGGGATGAGTATTTTTTTAGACTCACGTAGAGCAAGTGGAGACGTCTAGACAGCCGTTGGATGAAATCTACAAGCTTACACTAAAATGTGGGGGCAGGGTGGTGTCGCTGTCTCAAAATGAGCAATTTGTGGGCAAGGCTACTGTAAGTCCTTTATTTTAGTGATCCTGTGTATGCATCCAAAGAGCGTGCCATACAAAGTTTTGTGGGCATAGGTAAATTCCTCTATAAGCAAGAACTTTTTTTATGCCGTCAGACAAAAGTGAACAAGCTAAACATGTAATTTTTATGACTGCTGCGGCCAAGTTCTCTATGTCTGTTTCTCACCACAAAAGGCACAACGTAGTATGCGAGCCATGCAGGTGTTTGGTGGGTGCTCTGACGTGGTTTGATCCTTTTCTCCTGTCAAACATTTATCGTCCTGATCTGTCTTTCTTCTTTTTTATGTTTGTTATTCTCTTGTAACACCTCTAATCCTTGGTACTTTTATTGCCCTTTTGTGTTGCAACACTTAAGGCTATCTCAAAGTTGTATTTTTGTAAAATGCCTAGAGCTGTGTGCACATGGCAGAAGGAGCTATAAAAATTATATCTACATTATTGTTATAATGATTATTGTTATAGATATACCATCATTACAACAATGTCCTCCGTGGGTGGTTGGCAGGTGCTCTGGTGTGGTTTGCTTTCTCTTTCCCATCAAACATCTCTCGTCTTTATCTCCTCTCCTTCTTTTTTGTGTTTGCTACTCTCTTGTAACACCTCTAATCTTCGGCACTTATATGACCTTATTGTGTTGCAAGTGCCGTAAAACACTTACAAAAACCAAAACTAAAACAATATGTGAGATGTGCTGACAAAATGAGTTACTTCTTGCAATCCACAAACGGAAATATTGGCGAAAAATTGACACTAGGGTCAAATTTGTCAATTTTCTATTAATGCCATATTCTTTAAATATAACATGCCCTTTATTATTTCATACTTATAAATTAAAAAAATTTCACCTCTAAGCGCGATATAACTATTTCCATGGGGGCTTGAATGCGAGAAGTAACTCATTTTGTCAGCACGCTTCACATATCCTCCCCAGTGCCACCTCCCGGTCCTCCTATGCCGAGGACCGTCCTGCCCCGAGACCGCGGGACCATGGACCGCCTCATGGACTACCTGGTCGGGGACGGGCCGGAGAACCGCTACGCTCTGGTCTGCCAGCAGTGCTACTCTCATAACGGGATGGCGCTGAAGGAGGAGTTTGAGTACCTCAGTCAGTGCTCCGACTTATTTGTTCTTTTACTTTACTTTACTCTTTTTTACTTTACTTTATTTTTTCTTTATTCCTACTTACTTTACTTCATTTGTACTTGCTTTACTTTACTTTACTTTACTTTACTCTATTCTTACTTACTTACTTTACTTTACTTTACTTTACTTTACTTTACTGTACTTTACTTTACTTTACTTTACTATACTGTATTTGTACTTACTTTACTTTATTTTACTTTACTTTACTTCACTTAACTTTACTTTATTTTATTCTTACTTACTTTACTTTACTTTACTTTATTCTTTCTTACTTTAATTTACTTTACTTTTCTTTACTTTACTTTATTTGTACTTTACTATATTTTACTTTACTTTACTTTACTATACTGTATTTGTACTTACTTAACGTTACTTTACTTTACTTTATTTTACTTTACTTTACCTTATTTGTACTTGCTTTATTTTACTTTACTTTACTTATACTTACTTTACCTTATTTGTACTTTACTTCTCTTTACTTTACTTTATTTGTACTAACTTTACTTTACTTTACTTTGCTTTACTTTATTTGTACTTACTTTACTTTACTTTACTTTTCTTTATTTATACTTACTTTTCTTTATTTTACTTCACTTTTACTTTACTCTTACTTTACTTTTACTTAACTTTACTTTACTTTATTTGTTTGTACTTTACTGTACTATCCTGTACTTTACTTTACTTTACTTTACTTTACTTTACTTTACTTTACTTTACTTTACTTTACTTGTTTGTACTTTACTTTACTTTACTTTACTTCTACTTACTTTATTTCTACTTTACTTTACTTTACTTTACATTACTTTACTTTATTCTTCCTATTGTACCTCTAGGGCGTTGAGGGGGGGCCAAGAGTTTTCTGTCTCTAGCAAGCTGGATGGTTGGATGTTGTTGTGTTTTCAGGGTATCCTTCACACCCTCGATCTAGGTCTTCCTTGGTCTTCCTCTTGCCTTATTTGTTGAATAGATAAATGTGTCCCGACATGATGGAATAAGGCGCTCGTCAAGTTTTGGGCATATCACACAGTTGTACATTTTTCTGTAAATACAAGTAAATGAAATGTGTTAGTTTTTCTGTTTTCTAGATGCTCGTACTGGGAACCCCCTTTAATCCTTGGCACTTACATAAAACCTAATTGTGTTGCAAGTGCTGTAAAACACTTACTAAAACTACTAAGAACTGAAGAAAAATTACTTAAAGAATGTGAACAAGTGGGTGGTTTGCTCTTTTTTTCCTATCAAACATCTGCTGTCCTGATCTCTCCTCCTTTTTTGTTTTGTTTGTTACTCTCTTGTAATACCTCTAATCTTTGGCAATCATGGGGCCTATTGTGCTGCAAGTGCCGTAAAACACTTACTTAAACTAACTGATCGGTCCTTCTTCTTTTTTGTGCTTGTTACTCTCTTGTAACACCTGTAATCTTCAGCAATCACGGGGCCTATTGTGCTGCTAGTGCTGTAAAACTAACTCTACTGATATGACGAGTTGAATTCATGTTTGAAGAAAATCTGACTATAGTGTTCTCTGCGCTCTGACAGGTTTTCGTTGCTGTTACTGCTTCTTCCTGAACCCCGCCCGCAAGCAGCGTCCGTTCGCCCCACGTATGGAGTTCTTCAATCCACTGGCAAGAGGTCAGGGAGGTCAAGGTGAGTGAGAGTGAAGATGTGGGGATCTGGTCGAAGGACCAGTCATACCGGAAGATGGACTGCTTAGTGTTTTCACTTTACTTTACTTATCCATCTCTCTCTCTTCTGGTGCTGTGGCTGTCATAAATGGTCAGCGACGCAGGAACTCAACATTCACTCGGGGGTCCTTGAAAAATGCTGAAAGTTTGTTTACTTATCCCTCAGTCTTAAAAGACTGTTGGGGCACCAAGGAGGATTGGGCAACCTCTTTTTTCGACCCTTCTCTATTTTCAGCCTTTCGGAGGGCTTTTCCCAACTTTAAACGTGTCCATTCCACTATGTTTTCTTCTCATCTCTTTTCCTGTTGTCTGCCTTTCCTTCTCCCACCCCTGGGGGCGGTGCTCCTGATTGAAGTGTCTTTAGGCCATTCCCAAAGGGGGGACATTAATCCCGTTCTTATGCACAGTAGAATTGTAATTGTAAATGGGCTGATTCAATAATGTCATGCTCATAACTGTGCCTGAACTGCAACAGGGAACTGCAGCTTTTTCTTTTCTAATCCTTACTATCGTCATTTTTCCTTTACTTCTTTTGTATGTTTGTCACACTATTGTGAAACGCTATTTCCGGGGTGCCCTGATGGTCGAAGCAGACTTTGTGCCGTTGAAGCTAGAGAGATGAGGAGAGTAAGCCTGATTCCCTTTAAGGATTTTTCTGTTGACATTCACCCCTTGGCGCTTAAATGACCTTATGAAGTTGCGAACGCCGTAAAACCTCTACTAAAACGGAAAAAAAACTTTTCTCCTCCCTCCTTGTACAGTGCCCTGTAGAATCATCTGCTGAGTGCAAGCTCCGCAAAAATAAACCAATACACCTTTTTGAAACGTGACGTGAGACCGAGTCTTAACACTAATCAGTTAAGATGAACCTCTCTTTTTAAATCTCTTTTAGCTTGTACCTGCAGTTTACTATAAATGATCACTCTTTCAGTGGATTTGAAGTGTGGGTGGCTGACGGGGGCTCTGGTGTGGTTTGCTCTTTTTTTTCCTAATCAAACATCTATAGTGTTTGTCTCCCCTCCTTTTTTTTGGTGTTTGTTACTCCCTTGTAACACCTCAAATCTTTGGCTCATATATAACCTTTTTGTGTTGCAAGTGCCGTAAAACAATTTTACTAAAGCAAAAGGATTTGATTGCCTTTAAAAGGCAGTCAAACCTACTCTGATGGCCACCTGTCCAAGACAATCACCTGTACAAATTATGATCTCTTCCCCCTTCCCCCATTTGCATTATTTTAAAAATATTATAATGGCATTGTTGAGATGTCCACAAATCTAAGACTTTATACGCCCAAAAAATGATGAGTACCTTATGCCACCATGGTGTGACACATGTATGTATATGTATACATACATACTCACGTAGATATGTCATACATTCATACATGCACGCACACTTACTTGTGTACGCATTTTTAGACAGGCAGGCTTGTGGGTAGTGATTCTATGGCAGATATTGGGTTCTCTTTTCCCTCTTTTTTTTCCTTTGTATTTTTTTTTAGCAAAGCACATCCAAGAATGGTGTGTTTGTTTTTTGATGGGTTCTTTTTTAAAATTTTATTTTCTCATTTAAGGTCCCAAGCAATTGCCACCCAATAATGATGAGAGTGATGAAGAAGATACTGATGATGAGGATGAGGAGAACAGTGAAGAGGAGGAGGAGCAGAAGTCTGCCGGCCCTTCTTCTGAGAAACCCTCTGACAGGTCAAAGGTCGGTGGACAAGGAGCAGCAGGAAATGGAGTACCCAGTTCGTCGGTCAGACGAGGTCCTGGTCCAGCTGCGACCACTTCCACTGACCAGAGGTCTCAAGGGACGAGCTCAAAGCCAGCCGCGGGGTCATCGGGTCAGAGCACACTCAGGTCTGGCATTCCTAAAGTAGCTGCTGCTGCTGCCACGATGAGCAAAGGTCAAGGTCAGACGGGTGAGCAGCTGCTTCCCGTTGGTGCTGTGAAAACGTTGAGACCCGCTGCGACATCAGTGGTCGCGTCGAAGAATGCGGGGGCCGTCGTTTCGAGCGGTGCTGTAAAGAGCCCTACTTCTTCCGAGTCTCGCTTTCCACAGAGTCAGACGGCTGCTCAGGCTAGGAATACCTTCGCATCACCGCCGGTGTCTGCGTCTGTCGACAACAAAGCCGCCAGCGAGTCTGCGTCTGCAGGAAGTGTTGTCAGCCAGACTGGTCTACGTAGCAGCAGTCAGCCCCAGAAAAAGGGGCTGGGAGATAGCACTTCCGCTACAGCTACACCCGTCGTGTCGAGTGCCTCTCTAAGAAGCCAGATTCCCTCTCTCGTCGGGACGAAGAAGCCGGTCGAGTCAGAAAGCACGGACAACTCAACGGCCGTCACGGCGCAGGAAGTTTTGTCAGCACCAGCAGCACCCCCTGTGCAGCGAGATGCCGATGATATTATTTCCAACGCCGACGCCAACGGTGCCCACACGGAGAATGGACTAAACAACAGCGATCCGTCTGTGCCTTTAGGGGAAACCGCCCCAGAGGAAGTATCGTCTTCGGCGTCGCTAGTGACAGCTTTGGAGTATGACGGCGGAAGCGGCCGCGATAATATCGTCGATCCTCCCTCGGGGGACGCGGCCGAGGGTGATGTACATGATGGCCGCAACCCACCGCCCAATGAGGCTAGCGCCGAGGGAACCGCCGATGGGAGTAGTGCTGCGTCCTAGCTGGGCCTGTCCTGGGTGTGTTATAAATAGTGCAATACCCGATGATGAGACGCAGCTGTCTGTGGTGGTCAAGGCTTATACTTAGAGAGCAGTTTGTGGTAGAAAGATTTGTTTTCCTCAAAGTTGAAGATTGAAGTGTGGTAGGTTTTTCCTCAAAGTTGAAGATTGAAGTGTCATAGGATAGTATTTTCCTTGTGGAAAGTGCCGTGGGTGTTTTGAAGTATTGTAATGTTTGATAGCAAGACAGAAATATATATATAGCAGCCCAGGGTGGGGTAGAAGCCTTATTTTTTGAGGAACGGATTTTGAAGATTGAAGTGCAGTAGGGTAATGTTTTTCTTGGTGGAAAATGCCGTGGGTGTTTTGAAGTACAATAATGTTTGATAATAGGATAAAGCAGCCTAAGGGAAGGGGAAAAGCCTTATCTATTGAGGAAAGGGTTTTGAAGAACGTGTTCTTGAAGTTAAAAGTTGAGGCGTTTTAGTGGATGTGAGTAGTGTTATGTTTTAGATATTGTCAGCAAACTGTTAAAATTTATTAAGCTGAGAAATAGAAAGCAAAATTTTTGACAAAAGAGAAAAACAATTTCATTTCTTTAATAACAATTTTACTTACATTATGCATTTTTCCTTGCGCTTTACTTTGTTTAGAATTTTAGTTTCTGCAAAATATATTTTGAGCACATACAGCTGGTATCACATATTAAGAAACAATTTTTTTAGAGTTCAAAATCTTGGGCGCAGTACATTTTAACAGCTAGCCGACAATATGCTCTTGGTGTTTAAAAAATTATGCAATGCTTTCAATCGTATAATGGTTCGTAGATAATATAGGTGTGAATGATGATATATGTTTCGGATGTTGGAAAGTCTGAAGGTTTAGTTGTCTGAGTGGAATGTCCTCTTGATGAACGTAGACTGAACGTGGATTGGACATGTTACATTGTCCTGTGCTTGATGTATGGGCTTCTGATAGTATCAAAAGGAAGGCTGTCTGTGTAGAGACCAAGAAAAATGTTAACTGGGAAATTTGGGTACTGGAAGGGTAGCCATGATAGCAGAGAGATGATCTAGAGTTTATTCCAAGACAATGATGTATTTGGTACCAAATCTGGTAAAGTGTGGTAGAGCCAAAAGCTAGGCAGTGTGACAAGAGACAAAGTAGGAGAGAAGAGTGATGAGCCAGTGGTTTATTCTGGTGGAACTGTAGAAGGTTCTTCTGTAGTAGTAGTAGTGCTGTGAGGGATGTCAGAAATAGCCTTTGGTAAACTTGCCATGATAGCAGAGAGATGATCTCGAGTTTATTCCAAGACAATGATGTAATTGATGTCAAATCTCGTGAAGTGTGGTAGAGACAAAAACTAGGCAGTGTGACAAGGGACTAAGTAGGAAAGGGAGAAGTGTGGTAGAGACAAAAACTAGGCAGTGTGACAAGGGACTAAGTAGGAAAGGGAGAAGTGTGGTAGAGACAAAAACTAGGCAGTGTGACAAGGGACTAAGTAGGAAAGGGAGAAGTGTGGTAGAGACAAAAGCTAGGCAGTATGACGAGATGCGAGACATTGCTGTGTTCGGTATCGAATCTGGTAAAGTGCGGTAGATCCAAAGCTTGGCAGTGTGACACTGACAAGGTACTTAACTAAGAAGAGAAGTGGCATGAGCCAGTGGTTTATTCTGGTGGAATGGGAAGGTTTTTCTGTAGTAGTAGTGCTGTCGGGGATGTCCGAAATAGCCTTTGGTAAACCTGCTGCGATAGCAAAGAGAAGATCTCGAGTTAATTCCAGGACAATGATGTAATTGGTGCCAAGTCTCATAAAGTGTGGCAGAGGCAAAAACTAGGCAGTGTGACAAGGGACTAAGTAGGAGAGAGAGAAGATGGTTATGGCTCGCCAGTCTGTAATGTGTAACGTGATGGAAGCTAATGAAATTAGCCGGGCTTTGTGATGAAGTTTGAAATTGCAGCGATGATATCTGTGCTGGATGAGCTGTCTGTGGAGGAACTTGAGTTAAGTTTTTATTTTGAAGTGATGAGTTCTGTTTTAATACTTTACTAAAGAGCCACAAGTGGCTTTTGAAGGCACTAGTTTTTCTGTTTTCATGTACAGTCATCAGCCTATGGACTAGAGACTGAGATGTCTCTTTAGAAAGAAATGAGAGGAAGAAGATGTCCCTTTTGGAAATAAATGTAAGTGGGTGGTAATGGGTATGAACATTTTATCTATCCTCCTTTGAGCAAAAGGGGGCCCTGGCTATTAAAAGGTTACTGCTTCAGAGTATTTTGTTAAGATTGTAGGAATCTTACAGCGAAGTTTGTATCTGAGAAACCACTCCTCACCCTCTCTTTTGAAACTGCCGTCATCTAAAAAAAAATACTGTCAAAACTGTTTAAAAGACCAAGATGGCAACCACCCTATAGTCGATGAGAAAAGTGTTTGTATTAGACAAGTGGACAGCTTTCTTACACAATGTCATTTTGATGTTTAAAAAGTTACGCAAATGAGGAAATCGGAAGTGGCCATTTGTTAAGGTGATTGTCTTATACAGGTGGCTGCGAGGGCAGGTTCGACTGTATTTAGTGGGAAACGAAATTGGTTATTAAAATTAATTTTTTTCCTCGTATGTGTAATTGTTCGCTTTTAAGCACAAGGGGGCCATCCCGAAAAATGCTGTTTTGAGAAAATCGAAGGTAAAGTTTTTGAACCCTTGTTCAGTTTCTTTAAAAGACAAGGAGAGTTTTCTCAATAACCAAGCAAATATACGCACTAATGAAACCAAACTTCTCCCATAGGTAGGAAAATGTTCACTTTTGGTGTAGGTCAAGATTTCTGGAAACCCCCGAAATCTGGGTAAGCCCACTTGTCCTTAAAAGCGACCGATTGAGAGAAAGGAAAGAGGTTTTAGCATTTACTTTAAAAGTGCTGACTCTTCAAGTCACCGGCTGGTTATTGACCCAGGGCAGGGCAGCCATGATTGCTGCACCTTGACCTCATGACCCTTGACCTGTGATTGTTATGAAGCAGGGTTTTTTTATGCTATGACTGTTGCAAATTTAGTCAATATTCTTGTTATTCTAGCATGCTTATTTATTCCTCATGACAAATGCTTGTTTATTTGTGTGTGTGTGTATGTGTGTTCGTGTGTGTGTGTGCGGGCCTGTGTGTTGTGTTTATAAAATGTGTGTAATGACTGTGTTTCTGTGAAGGAAAGAAAAGAAATTACCTGGACATACTCAGTTTGTGAGGGCTTTGGTTTATTTTTTATTACTTTTTTTTTCTTCTCTTTTTATTGGCTTTTTATTTTTAGTTTTACATACACAGAGTAGATCAATACATGTGCCCAGATTTTGTTCCTCTGTAGAGGTTTAGACAGAGAAGTGATTTGTCTGCTTTGCATAGTAGAGTAGTTTTCAGTTTTTTGTTGGCGAGCTAGACTTTTGTATCGTTCAGTTGTATTCTGTACAGCTCTGCTGCATATCTCAAAAAGAGTTTTTGTGTCTGAACTTTTCAGTGGATGGTTGGCGAGTGCTCTGGTGTGGTTTGCTCCTTCTTTCCCATCGAATACCTCTGTCGTCCTGATCTCTCCTCCTTTTTTGTGTTTGTTACTCTCTTGTAACACCTCTAATCTTGGGCAGTTTTATATGACCTTATTGTGTTGTAAATGCTGTAAAACTCTACGAAAACTAATTTTTCATGTCGGAAGTGGCCTTACTGCGGTGGAATGGGCTTGAGAGAGATCATGTCGTGTTACTTTCTCTGTACCGTACCGGGTACTTATAGTCTACATATAGCGGCGACCTCGGTGCTTTCTTGTCGTTTCTCCTTTTTTTTATAAACAATGAAAATGAAACTTCTTTTTCAGCTCACTCTTTGTTAGGAACTGTTTTCACTGTTATTAAAAATGGAGATACGACAAGAAAGCGCTGAGGGCGCGATATAGCTCTGTGCTTTTTGCTTAGTAACCTTGATTGTTACGGAAAATAAAACTGAAATTCAACAAAAAATGGACTCTAACTAAGGATAATAATTTTTGACTCAAAGGAAAGATTTTTCAGCAGTTTTGATAGCTGTGTTTAAAATCCCGAAAAGTTGGAATTTGAAGTTAACACAAGATTGCACCCAGATCATTGTTTGTGTGGGTGTTTCGTCTTTGTCTCTTATCTGTTCCACTCACCAATGTATATGTCTCAACTGTGCCTTAGTGCTTCTATGCCAAGCCAAAAACCAAACAAAGGCATCTAGTAGTATGTTTATGTTGCTTTATTTTGATATAGTGAATTAGATATTTATTTGAAGGGCACAAGGTGGGAAAAAAAAAAAGAGGTGTCAATTTTTTGATAATTTGAGTTGTGACAACGTGTGGTTGGAGGGCGCCTCTGGTCGGTCCTCCTACTTCCTTACTTTCCCTCTGTTGTTTCTGTCTGTCTGTCATATTTTTTCCCAGCACTAAATGACCATTATTGTGTCGATGTGCTTCTCTTTGCTCAAAGAAAGAAAATGAGTTGTGTCTCTTAAGTTGGAAAGCGTTTACCTACACACCTTTTTTTTCCCATCTAAGTATTCAGGGTTAAAACCTTATGCTTCGGCCATTATTAGGCTTAGAAAAAAAGCTGTACTATGGAAAAGATATGGGTTGTCAAGAGTTTCATTTTTGTTCTTCTCAAAATGCCCCAAAAGTGACATCCTTAGTTTTTCCCTTGCGCCCTTCATATGAAGAATTATGATTTTTTTTCTCAGCGCATGGAAAGAGCAGCTTTTTTGCAACTAGAAAGTGTTTTTAAATGACAAAAGTTTTTACCGTTATGTCAAGATATGTGAAGGGAGAACTTCTTTATATTTCAGGCTAACTGAACATATCCAGAAGTATTATTTATATATCTCTAATGCAGTTTATTTTACCAAGGGCAAAGATATGACTTGTTTTTGTTGTTTTACTTCTCCAAGTTCACAAGTTTTTGTCTCAGAAAGGCTCTGACCTGTTCTGCCCTTAGCTGGCAAAACATTTTTTTTTCCTTTTTGGCGCCAACATATTTTTATTTGCTAAATCGATAGCCTGATCAGTTCCCCTACTGTACCAAGAAAATCAAAGTGGAACTGTGTGACTAGTTTTTGAATAAATTAGGATTTAAATTTCAGAAGAATGCCTTTTCTTTAATGGTTATGCTGACAAAATGCCTTTTTTCTCAAAACTATTGTGAATGAAGGAAAAGGTGTTTGGTCAGTGTACGTGGCAGTGTTTTCTTTCATTGGTCCCAACATGGA